GCCATTAACGAATTGATTCGTTATTGTTTTGTATTTGTTTCGTTAATGTTTCATAATTTTTTTTAACATTTACGAAATTTCGTAAATATCGAACTTTTTAAAAGAAAAATTTCGGAATTCTTTTAAATATCGAAATGCAAAAAACCCCAAAAAACGAATTGATTTTAGAAACAAATTTTTCCGTTGTTACCCAGGCCTAGAAAATACGGTTGGGAACCACTGTTGTAAACCACCTTGAGTCTCCCCAGGGGTGAGAAAGACAGTACAGTAGAGTCTCACTTATCCAACCTTCACTCATCCAACGGCCTGTATTATCCAACACAGTCTGCCTCCCGCCTAGATCCACAGCTGCTCAAAAATTGCGATGTTTTGGTGCTAAATTCGTATATACAGTCATTAGTACATAACATTACCATGTATTGAACTACTTTTTCTTTCTATTTGTTGTAAAACATGTTTCGGTGCTCAATTTGTAAAATCTTCACACATTCACAATAGGCTTTTCCTTAATCCCTCCTGATTATCCAACATTGTCGCTTCTCCAACGTTCTGCCGCCCGTTTATGTTGGATAAGCCAGACTCTACTGTATATAAATATAGCAAATAAATAAATGTAATTTCCCCTTGTTTGTTTGCCAATGTAACTGCAAGTTCTTTGTAGTTCCATAGAATTTGGATATCAATGTTGTTCTTTGTGTAAAAGTTTTGCCGTACCCTCTCAGGCTGGAATTGCAGGAAAAAGAAGCTTTGTTTAAAAAGTATTCATGACATCAGCCCCTCCCTCCCTCCTCCCTCGCAGTTCATCCGGCTGGCGCAGACCCTCAAGTACTACGGCTACCTGAAGTTCGACCCCTGCATCACCGACTTCCCCGAGAAGGGCTGCCACGTGATCGTCGGGGCCGGGAACAGCGAGCTCAACTTCCAGGTCAAGCTGCCCAATGACCAGATCAAGGAGGGCAGCTTCAAGGTCACGCGCATGCGCTGCTGGAGAGTCACCTCCTCAGTGAGTCAGAGGGGATGTCCTGGAGTGGGGGGGGGGAAGAGGGGCTTGGTCCCTGGGGGTTGGGGTCCAGAGCAGAGTTGTGCAGGGAGGGGCTTCTGCTTGACCCCTCCACCTCCACCCTAGGTCCCTGTGCACAACGGCACCTCTTCAACGCCACAAGGCCCCCCCGCAGGAGGGAAGCCGGAGGTCAAGCTGGAACTGGCCTTTGAGTACCTGATGAGCAAGGACCGCCTGCAGTGGGTCACCATCACCAGCCCCCAGGTAGGCCCCCCCACAGGCCCGGAAGTCCAGCACTGTCCATTTGGGTACCTGAGGCAGTGACTCCTTTGCTCTTGGATGTTTCTAAGGCAAGCATGGGCCAACGTGGGCCCACAAGGTATTTTGGACTCCAACTCCCACAATTCCTAACAGCCTCAGGCCCTTTCCTTTTCCCCCTCAGCCACTTAAGTTAGACGATAGAGTGATAGACCTAAGAGAGGCTTACCTTCAGGTCGCGAGAAATAGATGATAGAGTGATAGACGTAAGAGAGGCTTACCTCCAGGTCGCGAGAAATAGATGATAGAGTGATAGACCTAAGAGAGGCTTACCTCCAGGTCGCGATAAATATGATAGAGTGATAGACCTAAGAGAGGCTTACCTCCAGGTCGCGATAAATAGATGATAGAGTGATAGACCTAAGAGAGGCTTACCTCCAGGTCGCGATAAATAGATGATAGAGTGATAGACCTAAGAGAGGCTTACCTCCAGGTCGCGATAAATAGATGATAGAGTGATAGACGTAAGAGAGGCTTACCTCCAGGTCGCGATAAATATCTGATAGAGTGATAGACCTAAGAGAGGCTTACCTCCAGGTCGCGATAAATAGATGATAGAGTGATAGACCTAAGAGAGGCTTACCTCCAGGTCGCGATAAATATCTGATAGAGTGATAGACCTAAGAGAGGCTTACCTTCAGGTCGCGATAAATAGATGATAGAGTGATAGACCTAAGAGAGGCTTACCTCCAGGTCGCGAGAAATAGATGATAGAGTGATAGACCTAAGAGAGGCTTACCTCCAGGTCGCGATAAATATCTGATAGAGTGATAGACCTAAGAGAGGCTTACCTCCAGGTCGCGATAAATATCTGATAGAGTGATAGACCTAAGAGAGGCTTACCTCCAGGTCGCGATAAATAGATGATAGAGTGATAGACCTAAGAGAGGCTTACCTCCAGGTCGCGAGAAATAGATGATAGAGTGATAGACCTAAGAGAGGCTTACCTCCAGGTCGCGATAAATATCTGATAGAGTGATAGACCTAAGAGAGGCTTACCTCCAGGTCGCGATAAATAGCTGATAGAGTGATAGACCTAAGAGAGGCTTACCTCCAGGTCGCGATAAATAGATGATAGAGTGATAGACCTAAGAGAGGCTTACCTCCAGGTCGCGATAAATAGATGATAGAGTGATAGACCTAAGAGAGGCTTACCTCCAGGTCGCGATAAATAGATGATAGAGTGATAGACCTAAGAGAGGCTTACTTCAGGTCCCAATAGATATATAGATACGCCTAAGCGGCTGAGGGGGGAAAGGAAAGGACCTGAGGCTGTTAGGAATTGGGGAGCTGAAGTCCACAACATATGGATGGCCCAAGTTGGCCCATGCCTGGTCCAAGGTGTGCATGAAACACAAGTGAATGCTATGTTTAGACTTGGGTCCCTTCTCCAAGTGATCTCACGTTGTGTGTCTTCCAAAATCCTCCAATGCTTCTGGTCTCAAGTGTTTTTGTCGAGAGAGGCCCAGCCCAATTCCCTTTTAGAAGAGCCTCTTGGGGCGCAATTGGGCACTCCCATTCAGCAGACAATTGAGGCTGATTTCGGCTGCAACAGAAAGGAAGCCTTGAGGGGAAAGACAAAGATTGGGTTGGGGCCTCTGTCCTTGCTGATGCCTCAGAGCCTCTCTTCTCCGCCTTCCTTCTGCTCCAGGCTATAATGCTGAGCATCTGCCTGCAGTCCATGGTGGATGAGCTGATGGTGAAGAAGTCTGGGGGCAACATCCGGAAGGTAAGCGGAATCACAAGAATGGGAATGTTAATTGCTGGTGTTTTAAGCTGTTTATTTTATGATGCTTTATACTTATTGTTGATGTATTTGGATGGTTGTTTACATGATTTCAATATGTTGTTAGCCGTTTTGGGTCCTGTGAGGGAGAAAAGCGAGGTATAAATAAAGGTATTATTATTGTTATTGTTGTTATTATGGGAGCCCTGGTGACCCAATGGGTTAAACCCTTGTGCCAGCAGAACCGCTGACAGATAGGTCAGCGGTTCAACTCTGAGAGTGGTTTTGAGGGTTGAGCTCCCTCTGTCAGCTCCAGCTCATGCAGGGACATGAGAGAAGCCTCCCACAAGAAGGATAAAACATGAAAACATCTGGGTGTCATTATTATGTTTATATGACCGAAAGATCAGCAATTTGAATCCAGGGAGTGGGGTGAGCTCCTGTCAGCTCTAGCTTCTCATGCGGGGCTGTGAGAGAAGCCTCCCAGAGGATGGTAAAACATCAGTTTTGAGGGTTGAGATCCCTCTGTCAGCTCCAGCTCCTCATGCAGGGACATGAGAGAAGCCTCCCACAAGAATAATAAAACATGAAAACATCCGGGTGACATTATTGTGTTTATATTTTAATATGCTGTTATTTTTATACTTATATTGTTTTGTTAATCTTATGGTTATGTTGTTCTACTTTGTATGTTTTGTGATGTAACCTGGGAACCGCTCTGAGTCCCCTCGGGGAGATATAAAGTTTTATTATTAGAATATCCAGATGCAATCAAAATTGTATCCGGTGATACAATGGGTTAAATCTTTGTGCCAGAAGGACTGCTGACCGAAAGATCAGCAATTTGAATCCAGGGAGTGGGGTGAGCTCCTGTCTGTCAGCTCTAGCTCCTCATGCGGGGATGTGAGAGAAGCCTCCCACAGGATGGTGTCCCCTGAGCAACGTCCCTACAGACTAGAAGCGACTTGCAGTTTCTCAAGTCGCTCCCGACATGAAAAAAATATATTATGAGGCCCATTGGCAGCTGCATGGGGAGTGGGGAGCAGCATTTGCCTTCTATGACACCCCTTCTTTCCTTTTGCAGGTCTTCCGCAGGCGGGCCAATGGGGCCATGCAGCGCTCCAACAGCCAGCAAGCGGCCAAGTCCCCCCCTCTCCTGGTAAGTGGCCCCCTCCCCAAATCCCACAGTGGCCAATGGGGCGGCTTCTCCCCTTGACCTTCCTGTCCGTGTGTTCTGCCAGGATTCTCCGGACGCCGGCTGGGACGCCATGGCCAAGGTCTCGGTGAGTGAGTCCCCCGCCCACCCCACCCCACCCTCTGCTCCCTCCCTCCTCGGGCAAAGGGGTTCCTGGGCGGAGACCTGGCCTGACCCTCTGTTCATCCCCAGAGCAAGCTGGGCTCGGTCAGCCTGCGGGCCATCAGCCATTCCAGCTCTTCCGCGGACATCGGGGCCAACGACTTCCATGGCAACTACGCCTTCGAGGGCATCGGCGACGAGGACCTGTGAGGCTCGCTCGCTCGCTCGCTCCTCCTTCTGTGGAATGTACAACCTGCTCCGGGTTGGTGATCTCCATGTGCCTCAGCAGCCCCCCCGCCGCGCCCCCCTCCCCGCAAGAAAGAGGCAGCCGGCGGGGCCCCCCTGCGTTCATGCCAAATTAGGGTAGAGCGGACCCCGGGGCCCGGCGCCCCCCACAGACTCCTCCAGCATAACGGCTAGGCTTGTAATCGCGTTTTATCTCTCTCTTTCTCTCTCTCTCTGCTGTTTACAGATAAACAATAACAATGTTTGTGACTGACCATGATTAAATAGATCATGATTGGAAACGGACGTGTCCTAGTCTCACCCCCCCTCCCTCCCTCCAATATGTATCTTTTGCTTTATCCCGGCCCCCCCCCCCCAAGTAGATCTCTCCGGCCGTGTCACATCCAGGTCAAAGGGCTCCCCCCCAGCCAAAATAAAGCAAGATAAGAAAACAGTTTAATGCATGAGTACACCATATAAATTACACAGACCCAAGCAGCAACCACAGTTAAGGACGGGGGAGGAGGCAGGAGAGTGTCCGCAAAGGAGCCGCCCCTTCCCCTGAAGTCCGGCCCGCTCTCCTGCCTCCCCCCCCAAAAGGTCTCGGTCCCTGGCGGAGTCGGGGCCCCAGGGCGGTCAGGGCCGGCTGCGGTCTGCTCGGGGCCGCTCCTCGGGGGGCCCGCCCTGTCCGTGCACCTTCTGGTGCCGCTTGTAGTTGTCCCAGTGCCCGGTGGTGTAGGGGCAGATGCGGCACTGGAAGGGCTTCTCGCCGGTGTGGCGCAGCATGTGGCGCTTGAGGTTCATGCTCTGGTTGCAGGAGTAGGCGCAGAGGCGGCAGCGGAAGGGCTTGTCCCCCGAGTGGATGCGGCCGTGGCGCTTGAGGTTGGCCAGGTTCCCGCAGGCGTAAGGGCAGAGCGGGCACTTGTAGGGCTTCTCCCCGGTGTGGACCCGCTGGTGGCGCTTGAGGTTGTCCAGGTGGGCCGAGGCGTACGGGCAGAGGGCGCAGGCAAAGGGCTTCTCCCCGCTGTGCGTCTTCATGTGCCGCGCCAGGTGGTTGGGGTAGGTGGTCACAAAGGGGCACAGCTGGCAGGAGAAGCCCTTGCTGGCCGGCGGGGAGCCCGGCTCCGAGGCCCCCAGCACCGCCAGGCTGCAGCGCCCGCACACCGGCCCCACCAGGCCGTCGTCCGCCTCCAGCGCCAGGCCGCACATGCGGCACGTGAACGGGAAGAGCAGCTCCGGCAGCACCGCCGCGGCCGCCGCAGCATCCTCCGGGCGCAGGAAGACGGCCGAGCCGGGCAGCAGCACCTGGGGCAGCGGCTGGGGCAGCACCGGGGGCTGCGGGGGTGGCAGCAGCGAGGGCTCTGTGGAGGAAAGGCAAATCCGTGTCAGGAGAAATACCGCTGGAGAGAGGTGGTTTAGGAGCAATGCGCACCCCTGACCCCCCCCCCCTCCAACCCATTATGGCAGAGGTAGTGAAGCAGAGCTACAGGCCATACAAGTCTGCCTCCCCAGGGCATCCCTCCCTCCAGTCTCCCTTCAAGTCCACCTCTCCAGTGCTTTGGCAACAACAAAAGAGGCAAAGAGGGGCCCTTCCCTGCCTCTCACGGTCCTATCAGTTTGGGGGATGGAGCTTATTAGTGCGGGGGTCCTCTTGAGCCCCCCACCCCCGGGCAACAGAAGATCTTTCTTTAGCACTAGCTGTCCCCCTGCCATGTGTTGCTGTGGCCCACATTTTCTGTTGGTCATAGGGTCTGTGTGGGAGGTTTGGTTCAATTTTATTGTTGGTGGGTTCAGGATGCTCTGTGATTGTAGGTGAACTACAAATCCCAGCAACTTCAACTCCCAAATGTCAAGATTCGATTTCCCCCAAACTCCACCAGTGTTCACATTTGGGCATATTGAGTATTTGTGTAGAGTTTGGTCCAGATCCATCATTGTTTGAGTCCACTGTGCTCTCTGGATGTAGGTGAACTACAACTCCAAAACTCAAGGACAATGCCCACCAAACCCTTCCAGTATTTTCTGTTGGTCATGGGAGTTCTTGTGCCAAGTTGGTTCAATTCCATCGTTGGTAGTTCAGAATGCTCTTTGCGATTGTAGGTGAACTATAAATCCCAGCAACTACAACTCCCAAATGACAAAACCATTTTTCTAAGTGAAGGACATACATTGGGTTGTTGGGTGTCTTGTGTCCAAATTTGGTGTCAGTTCGTCCAGTGTTTTTTGAGTTCTGTTAATCCCACAAACGAACATTACGTTTGTATTTATATAGACTAGCTGTACCCGCCACATGTTGCTGTGGCCAACCTTCCCTCCCTCTTTCTCTCCCTCTTCTCTCCTCATTCCTTCCTTCCTCCTTCCTTCCTTCTTCCTTCCTTCCTTCCTTCCTTCCTTCTTCTTCCTTCCTTCTTCCTTTCCTTCTCTTTCCTTCTTCCCCTCCCTTTTCTTCCCTTTCTTTCGCTCCTTTCTTCCTTCTCTACCTCTTTCCTTCCTTCCTTTTTTTGCTTCCATCCTTCCATCTCTCCTTCCTTCTCTGGGAGTGGATGAGACTACCCCCCCTCTCGCCAGACCCACCATAGTGAGGGAGGATGGTCAACAGTGCCTTTTGCGCTTGCTGTGTCCTCACGCAGGTTTAGGTAAGGCCATGGAATTTATTTGCGTGCATGCGCTGTGTCGTTTTCTACCTTTTTTGGATTTTAAAGTTCTTTTCACTGTTTTTTGGTGATTTTTTGAGTGATGGTCACTCCTTGGGTTAGTAGGTGTCTTGTGGCCAAATTTGGTGTCATTTCGTCCAGTGGTTTTTGAGTTATGAGATTCCATCTGAACATGAGGAAGAACTTCCTGACTGTGAGAGCCATTCAGCAGTGGAACTCTCTGCCCCGTAGGGAGTGTGGTGGAGGCTCCTTCTTTGGAAGCTTTTAAACAGAGGCTGGATGGCCATCTGTCAGGGGTGATTTGAATGCATTATTCCTGCTTTTTGGCAGAAAGGGGTTGGACTGGATGGCCCAGGAGGTCTCTTCCAATTCTTTGATTCTAGGATTCTATGTACGCCCCACAAACAAACATTACATTTATATATTTATTTGTATTGTCGAAGGCTTTCATGGCTGGAATCACTAGGTTCTTGTGGGTTTTTTCGGGCTATAGGGCCATGTTCTAGAGGCATTTCTCCTGACGTTTCGCCTGCATCCATGGCAAGCATCCTCAGAGGTAGTGAGGTCTGCTTGCCATAGATGCAAGCGAAACGTCAGGAGAAATGCCTCTAGAACATGGCCCTATAGCCCGAAAAAACCCACAAGAACCTATATATTTATTTGTTTATTATTTATTTACTGTATTTGTACACCGCCTCAGCCTATGGGCAACTCAAGGCGGTTTGTCTATTTATATATAGTGTTCCCTCGCTACTTTGCGGTTCGCTTTTCGCGGACTTGCTGTTTTGCGGGTTTTTGCCTCCCAGTTTATGAATAGATGCCGTTGCCCTATTGTTCTTTACATTAGACAGGGGTAGGGAACCTTCGGCCCTCCAGGGGTGGTGGACTTCAACTCCCACAATTCCTTGAGGCTCGGCATTCGCCCCTTTGGGGCGAATGCCGAGCTTCAAGGAATTGTGGGAGTTGAAGTCCACCACAGCTGGAGGGCCAAAGGTTCCCTACCCCTTCTAATCCCACATCCTGGCAATGAAGGGGTGTGGAAGGGGGTTTCACCCTCCCCCTTGGGAGAGAGGCAGCCAATCCAGAGAGGTTGCAAAGCAAAGCAGAGATAGCTAGCAAAAGGAAAAGGTGTGCGGTGCCTTTACATCTCTCCTTGCTTTCGCCTCACCCTCGGAAAGGGATATACATATATAGCAGCGTTTCTCAACCTGGGGGTCGGGACCCCTGAGGGGGTTGTGAGGGGGTCAGAGGGGTCACCAAAGACCATCAGAAAACACATATTTCTGATGGTCTTTGGAACACAGTGCTCTCTGGAGGTAGGTGAACTACATCTCCCCTAAATCATTGTCAATTCCTCCCAAATCCCTCCAGTATTTTCTATTGGTCATGGGGGCTCTGTGTGGGAAATTTGGCCCAACTCTATCATTGGTTGGGTTGATTGCAGGTGAACTATAAATTCCAGCAACAACAACTCCCAAATGACAACGCCTATTTTTCCCAAACTCCACCAATGTTTGCAGGTGGGCATATTGCGTGATTGCGCTCAGTTCGGTTCAGATTCATCATTGTTTGAGTGGATGTAGGTGAACTCCAACTCCAAAACTCAAGGTCAATGCCCACCAAAACCTTCCAGTATTTTCTGTTGGTCATGAGAGTTCTGTGGGCCAAGTGTGGTTCAATTCCGTCATTGGTGGAGTTCAGAATGCTCTTTGATTGTAGGTGAACTATAAATCCCAGGAACTACAACTCCCAGATGACAAAATCAATTTGCCCTCAACCCCACCAGTATTCAAATTTGGTCCAGTGAATGAAAATGCATCCAGCATATTAGATTTTACATTATGATTCATAACAGGAGCAAAATGCAGATATGAAGGAGCAACAAAAATAATTTTATGGTTGGGGGTCACCACAAAATGTAGAACTGTACTAAGGGGTCGCGGCATTAGGAAAGTTGAGAACCACTGCCCTAAAGGCTTCTTTTCGGGGCCCCTGGGGGTCCTGAAAGTGAATCACGCCTCGATAAGTGAGGGCACACTATATAGATTCCTGCCTACCAGAGCAAGGGGGAGGCGCCAATCCAAAGGCACAGGATGTCAGCCCCTTTTCTGCTGGGAAACTAGGTCTCCATTGTTGCGGTGTCCTTGGCGGACGGAGGGGAAGCAGTGGGCGGAGGACGCACACCCTGTCTTTCGTGAAGGGCAACAGGAAGCCCCCTCCTCCCTCAATTTCCCCTCCCTCCCATGTGGCCCAAAGGAGGGACATACCTGTTTCCTGCTGCTCCGCGAGGGGTGCCCCCTCTCCGCCGGCCCCCTGCCCTTGTCCTGGGGCGGCCAGAATGCCGGTGGCCGGGAGGGTCCCGCCCTGGAGGCATCGGCAGTTGCAGACGGTGCAGCGCAGGGGCCCGCGTGTCTCCTGCCCGCCGTGGACGCGCTGGTGGCGCTTGAGGTTGCCGAGGCTGCTGCAGGCAAAGGGGCAGGAGGGGCAGCGGTAGGGCTTCTCCCCGGTGTGGGTGCGCAGGTGCCGAGTCAGGTTGACCAGCTGGGCCGAGGCGTAGGGGCAGTGCGGGCAACGGAAGGGCTTCTCTCCATTGTGGGTCTTCATGTGCCGCTTCAGGTGGCTGGAGTAGTGTGAGGCGAAGGGGCACAGCTGGCAGGAGAAGACGACCCGGCCCCCCGGTAGCAGCAGCGCCCCCTCCCCCCCACCGCTGCGTAGGTCCGCTGAGGGGCAGCAGGGACCCGGCCCCGAAGGGGAGAGCCCACAGTGTTGGCAAGGAGGGCCCCCCGGGCGCCGCACCCCTCCTCCGCCAGACCCCTCCTCCGCCTCTGCCTCCTCCTGCTCCTGCTGGGCCTGGCACAGTGCGCGGAACGCCAGCGCCGCCTCCTCCTCCTCTTCGTCCTCCTCGCTCAGGGCACTAGCGTAGTGGGCAGCGAGCCTGGGCGCACCCCCAAAGGAGTCTGCAAAACATGGGAATGTCAGACCGTAGGATCAAAATAGCAATATTAAATAACTACTCACAAGCCGGTTTTAATTTGAAATGGATATATTGCTTGTATCTCCACAGCAAAGAAAGACACTAGTGACTTTTTCCCACCACCACTTCCTTTGATACACCTTCCCTGCCCATCTCCCCCTCTTCTCAGTTTCCTTATTAGGACTTGTTGCTTCACAAGTTCCATAACATGGTTTCCAGCACTCTCTGCTGGCTTCGGAATGTCACAGAGAGCATTGATTTAGTCAGGATGTCAGGAGGGAATTTGTGATGTCTTCATGCCATCAGAAATTGACTCCTGACAGGGAATGAGCGAGAGTTATAAGAGGCTCTGGGGCCAAGCAGGAAGGCACCATTTGAGCCCACCAACCTCTCTGCTTTAGTTGAAGGAGGAGACCAGGCTCCCAGGAAGCGTCGGTCAAACAGGTCTAACCATCAGAACGCTCTTCCTGGTGCGGAGGTGGAACCTCTTCCCTGCAATTTGAATCCCAGGCCCCATTGTCCACGACAACAGAAGAGGAGCCTGACTTCTCCTCCTCCTCCTCTTTTCCAACCTGGCTCTCCTGCGCCTTTCTCTCCCTCTTCTTTTCTCCAGCAGAAACACCCTCTGCCATTTCCTAGGAAGAACTTCCTGACTGTGAGAGCCATTCAGCAGTGGAACTCTCTGCCCCGGAGTGTGGTGGAGGCTCCTTCTTGGGAAGCTTTTAAATAGAGACTGGATGGCTATCTGTTGGGGGTGCTTTGAATCCAATATTCCTGCTTCTTGGCAGAATGGGGTTGCACTGGATGATGGCCCAGGAGGTCTCTTCCAACTCTTTGATTCCATGATTCAGGTACTTTGCAGGCTGGATCTCCACAGCCCTACACCCCAGATTATCTGGCAGTGTAGACTCATATAATCCACTTCAAAGAAGATAATCTGGGATCGGATCCTGGAATGCAGGGCAGTGTAGATCCAGCCTCAGAGGGACTCAACATTTCCAGACCTTGGGCCCTTCCCTGGACCTCTTCCAGCTGGTCAATGACCTCTTGAGAAAGGGGGAGATGTGGCAGGGGGTGGCAGCCAGTGGGCTTCTTCCCATCAGATCCTAAGAGGGCCATCCAAAGGTCATCCAGCCCCACTGCCTTTTACTGTGAAGAAGACCCCACAGGAGCTATTTGGAGGGACGGCCACCCAGCCTCTGCTGAGAAGCCTCCAGAAAGAGAGAGTGGCTCTCTCACTCCCGGGCTCTCCTGGGGCCATCCAGTCCAACCCTCACCCTGCTAGGAAGGAAGGCACCACCCAAACCCTCCCAACAGACATCTGCACAACCCTGCTTTTCCTACTGGCACAACCTCCCCCCCCCCTCAAAATGAAGCCCCCTCTGGGGTCCACCTTCTGCAGCTCATTCTTTCTAGACCTTGGGTCCTTTTGATGACCCTTCCTTGGGCCCCTTTGGGCTGGTCAATGACCTCTTGGGAGGGGGGATATGAGTGTGTGTGTGTGGGGGGGGATGTCCCTCCTTTCCATCAGATGCTAGAAGACTCCCCCAGAGGCCATCTTCATGTTAGGAGCTCACTCAGGGAACCCTCGGGGAGATAGAGCGGTATATAAATAAATAAATAAATAAATAAATAAATAATAATAATAATTATTATTATTATTATGGTTCAAGTTTTATATTTCAAGTTTTACGGTCCARGATGGAGGCCTCCCATCTCATTGACTTTCTTGAACTATTGGTGATCGAGAAAGCCTCTAGCACCTCTGAACCCTCCCTTGAAGGGACATTTGGTCCAAATTCTTTCAGACAATACACAACGACATATTATATCAATGAGCAGGAATGCCAGGAAGACCTCTGAATGGATGGACTACCCAGCCTCTACTGAGAGGCCCCTGGAGACAGAGAGGTGACCTCATTCCTGGGCACCTCCAATAGAGTTGGAAGGGACTCCAGGGGGCATCCAGTCTAGCCCACTTCTGCCAGGGAGCAAGACAGAACTACGATTACATTTTTATCCATCATCATTATATTTTTATAATATAATATAACCACCCTGAGTCCTCATGGAGAGATAGTGCCGGATATAAATAAAGTTTTATTATATTGTTATTAGATTCATAGAGTTGGAAGGGACCTCCAAAGGCCATCAAGTCCAGCCCCCTTCTGCCAGGCAGGAAGAGAGAACTAGCATTATCCATCATCATCACCATCAGCTTCTTTTTCTTATCATTGTTACTAATACTACTACGATTACACTCATAGAGTTGGAAGGAAGCCCAATGGTCACCCAGTCCAACCCTTTTTGCTAGGCAGGAAGACAGTACTATTATCCATCATCATCATCTTATTATTATTATTATTATTATTATTATTATTATTATTATTATTATTAAATTAATAGAATTGGAAGGGACTCCAGGGGCCATCCAATGCAACTCCCATCTGCCAGGCAGGAAGACAATACTACTGTTACGTTATTATCCATCATCATATTATTATAATAATACTATATAACTACCCTGTCCCCCACTGGGAGAGAGACCTGGATATAAATACAGACTCATAATAGAGTTGGAAGGGACCTCAAAGGCCACCCAATTTAGTCTCCTTCTGCTGGGCAGGAAGACAGAACTATCATTATCCATCATTATCCATCATCGTCGTCATCATTACTATCAGACTCATAATAATAGAATTGGAAGGAACCCCAGGGGCCATTCAGTCCAGCCCCCTTCTGCTGGGCAGGAAGACAGAAGTACCAAAATCCTCCACCATCTTATTATTATTATTATTATTATTATTATTAGACTCATCATAGAGTTGGAAGGGACCCCAAAGGCCACCCACTACCATTATCCATCACCATCATCTCATTATTATTATTAGACTTATTATTATTATTATTATTATTATTATTATTATTATTATTATTACTACTACTACTACTATCAGACTCATAATAATAGGGTTAGAAGGGACCCCAGGGGCCATTCAGTCCAGCCCCCTTCTGCAGGGCAGGAAGACAGAAGTACCAGAATCCTCCTCCACCACCACCACCACCACCATATTATTATTATTATTACTACTACTATTATCCATCACCATCATATTATTATTATGAGAGTTATTATTATTATTGCAATCAGACTCATAATAATAGAGTTGGAAGGGACCCCAAAGGCCACCCATCACCATTATCCATTATCATCATCATCATCATCATATTATTATGAGACTTATTATTATTATTATTATTATTAATGCTATCAGACTCATAATAATAGAGTTGGAAGGGACCCCAAAGGCCACCCATCACCATTATCCATTATCATCATCATCATCATATTATTATGAGACTTATTATTATTATTATTATTATTGCTATCAGACTCATAATAATAGAGTTGGAAGGGACCCCAAAGACCATCCAATACCATTATCCATCATCATCATATTATTATTATTAGACTTCTTCATCTTCTTGTTACTATCAGACTCATAATATTAGAGTTGGGACCCCAAAGGCCAACCATTACCATTATCCATCATCATCATATTATGATTATTATGAGACTTATTATTATTATTATTATTATTGCTATCAGACTCATAATAATAGATTTGGAAGGGACCCCAAAGGCCACCCACTACTATTATCCATCATCATCATCATCATCATCATCATCATCATCATCATCATCATCATCATCATCATCATTATGAGACTTCTTCTTCTTGCTATCAGACTCATTCATTATTATCTTATTATTATGATTATTATGAGACTTATTATTATTATTATTATTATTATTATTATTATTATTGCTATCAGACTCATAATAATAGATTCGGAAGGGACCCCAAAGGCCACCCACTATCATTATCCATCATTATTAATATTATTATTATGAGACTTCTTCTTACTATTATTATTATTGCTATCAGACTCATAATATTAGAGTTGGAAGAGACCCCAAAGGCCACCCACTACTATTATCCATCATCATCATCATCATCATATTATTATTATTATTATGAAACTTCTTCTTATTCTTATTATTACTATCAGACTCATAATATTAGAGTTGGAAGGGACCCCAAAGGCCACCCATCACCATTATCCACCATCATCATCATCATATTATTATACTTATTATTATTATTATTGTTGTTGTTGTTGCTATCAGACTCATAATAATAGAGTTGGAAGGGCCACCAAAAGCTACCCATCACCACTATCCATCATCATCATCATCATTATTATGAGACTTATTATTACTATCAGACTCATAATAGAGTTGGAAAGGACCCCAATGGCCACCCAGTACCATTATCCATCATCATCATCATCATCATCATATTATTATTATTATTATTAGACTCATCATAGAGTTGAAAGGCCACCCATCCCAACCCCTTTTTGCTGGGCAGGAAGACAGAACTATTATCCATCATCATCCCCATTATACTATTATTACTATGAGACTAATCAGAATAGAGTTGGCAGGGACCCTTGAGGCCATCCAGCCCAACCCCTTTCTGCCTCAGGAAGGCAGCACTCAAACCCTCCCGACAGAGGCAGCACTCAAACCCACCAAAAGCCACCCAATACCATTATCCATCATTATCATCATCATTATTATTATTACGAGACTTCTTCTTCTTCTTTTTATTATTACTATCAGACTCATAATAATAGATTTGGAAGGGACCCCAAAGGCCACCCATCACCATTATCCATCATCATATTATTATTATTATGAGACTTATTATTATTATTACTATCAGACTCATTATATTAGAGTTGGAAGGGACCCCCAAGGCCACCCACTACCATTATCCATCATTATTATCATATTATTATTATCATTATTATTATGAGACTTCTTACTATCAGATTCATAATATCCATCATCATTATCTTATTATTATTATTATTATTATTATTATTATTATTATTATTGCTATCAGACTCATAATA